CCCCCCATGGGTCTCTAGTGGAATGTGTGGGTTGGCTTGGGGTCACTGTGAGAGCCAAGAGTCCCAGCCCCCACCCAGTACAACCCTGGGCTACCTGCACTGGGGGGATGGGCCCTGAAACCTGCCCTGCCCCTTCATTCCCTTAACGCCTGGGGGGCGGGGGTGGGACAAGCCTGCAGTAAGTCCCCCTTGTCCCTCCGCAGTCACATGCCAATTAACCCTTCCCACGCCAGGCCCCGGCTGGGCCTGTATCTGCAGTGGTCTGTCATTCAAAGTTTTGTTTCCCAACTGCAGGTGTTGGGGGTGTAATCTCCCCAGTGCCTGCCCTGCCCCTTCATTCCCTTAACGCCTGGGGGGCGGGGGTGGGACAAGCCTGCAGTAAGTCCCCCTTGTCCCTCCGCAGTCACATGCCAATTAACCCTTCCCACGCCAGGCCCCGGCTGGGCCTGTATCTGCAGTGGTCTGTCATTCAAAGTTTTGTTTCCCAACTGCAGGTGTTGGGGGTGTAATCTCCCCAGTGGCTGAGCAGCTGGGGATTGCTAGATGGGAAAGGACTGGCTTTCGGGAGGGGTGGTACTGTAGGGCGGCTCCCAGTGGACTTGCTTGGTTTGTTGGGACTGATCTTATTTCACATTTAACTCGTGACCTTGGCACCAAAAGTGGGAGCGTTTGGCTGGCACGCTCTGGGGAGGGGCTGCCGATACAGGGCAGGATCGGGGTAGGCCAGGAGAGCTAGAGGAGCTTGAGAACTGGAGCAGTAGGAATGGGATGAAAGTAGAAGAACATGAGCATGGGGACCAGCAAGAAGAATGTTTGTGATTAGCTGGGCTGGCCGCAGGGTGACCACGAGCCCCCAGCGTGACGAGGGTGGAAAAGGCTGTCTTAGCATGCACCAGGTGACGTATTTTCAGGAGAGGCGGGAATGTGCTCGGCGCCCGCGAGACCTCGTCTGGGGCAGTTCTGGTCTCCCGAGTTTAAGATGGACGGATTCAAACAGGAACAGATGCAGAGAAGGGCACCTGGGACCTGCCTTAGGAGAGGAGATTTAAGGAGCATGGCTTGTCTAGCCAACAGAGCCAACCCAGCCTTTCTAAATACCAAGGAGGGAAGGACGTTATGTAAGTGAAACACCAGTGTAGACACGAGAAGAAATGGCTCCAAACTGGCCCTCCACAAGCTGAGGCTTGAAACTAGCTGAAGAGGTCTCCTCGTCGAGGAGAGAGGTTCTAGATCAGCCTCCCCAGGAGGGCAGTGGGGGCAAAATACTTCCCTGGCTTCCAAACAGCGCTTGCTACCTTTCTGGGGGGGATGGTCTGAGATGGCCCGTGGCCCTTCAGAAGCCGCGTGCAGCAGAAGTCCCCTGTGGCCAGAGATGGGACGCCAGATGGGGAGGGCAAATTCCAGCGAATTTTTTCCCAGGAGTCAGCCGGGGGGATCTTGCTCACGTACTCAGGGTTCAACTGATCTGTTCCCGGAGAGGGCCGGGAAGGATCTGTGGTCTTGGAGATGCAGGAGCCCAGGCTAGATGAGGAATGGTCCCTTCTGGCCTTACAGCCCGAGCGACAGGAGTGCCTGCTTGGCCCCCTGGGTGATGCGTTGGCGGAGGTCCAGCCCTCATGCACCAGCTGCGTTCAGTCCTGGGCTCCAGCAGTTGTGCCCAGTGGCAGAACTGGGGGGGGGAGTCCATGGGTCTGGCTTGCTTTGGCTTTCTCTGGGCTCACCCAGTGGAACTGGAAGGGTCCCACAACGTCCGTTCTCTTGTGCTCCTCTCTGCAGCTGGCTCATGCCATCCGACTGCTGCTGGAACATGCGGGCGCACCCTACGAGGACAAGCAGTACACCCCCAGTGGGGATGGTAAGGCCACAGGGCGCGTTAAGGTCCGCGCTCCAGAGTGTTAGTAGGTGCCCAGCCCCTTGCCTTGCTGGGCTGGCGTCTTGGCTCCCGGAGTCACCTTAGAGCAGGCAGAGGGTCTGGCTTGTGGCAGGCAATCGAGGCTGAGGCTGGCTCATACCTGGATTGCAGCTGGAAATTGCAAGGGAATCCAGCCAGATTTTTGTTTCCCTCCCCCCCCCCCCCCCCCCATTTATTTTGGGTCTACACATCCTAAACTTAAAACTCCAGTCCTCTGAAGAAGTGGGCTGTGCCCATGAAAGCGAGGGGTGGAAAGAGTTTTACCTGCCTGTCAGCAGGGGGCTCGGGGAGAGGCTCAGGTTTTCAGCAGCTCTTAGAAAGGGCCTTGGACTCTCTAGCTGGGCAGGGGAGGTAAGGTCAGTCCTGGGGTGCCCCTTGCACAGCCCCTCTGGGAATACCCCAGTGCCCCCTGACAGCCAAGGGGGCTGCCCCGGTGAAGCTGGGTGGGGTGTTTGGCTCTGGGGCAGTAGACTCGGAACAGAGGGTGAAGCATCTGGGTGTGCAGTGACTGAGGGGTGGGGGGGCTTGAAGGGAGGGGCATTAACGGGGAGGAGGGTCAGACCCTCTTCTCCCTGTCGCTTCAGTTCATTCCTCTCCGAGGTCTGGGTGGCTTGCGGGCCCAGCCCTGCCCATGGCAGGAGACAGCAGTTCCCCTGCTTCCCACCAGCCCTGCACAGGACAGTGCCTCTGGGCTGGAAGGGTCCGCCCTTGGAGGGGCCAATGGGAGAGAGGGAGAGTTGCTCAATCCCGCCTGTGTCAAGTAACAGCCACTTCCCGTTCCCCGCCCGGTTAACTCCTGGGTGGCTGCAGAGAGACTGATTTCCCACCTGGGTTTCTTGCTGAGTCACGCACCCTTGGGGCTGGTTACATCACCCTGAAGGGCGCGGGGCTGCCCTTTGTCATGGGCCATAAGAGAAGAAAATCCCTTTGTCCCCGCAAGTGGATTAGTGCGGGGGAGGGAGAGGTCAGGTTGCTTTGGGGCCTGGATCCTTTAGTACCGTGACAGCACGTTTCTGGCCCTTGAGAATCCCCATAAAATTGTGCCTCGCAGCTTCCCAGGGCGTTGTGAAAATACACGGCCCCTCCCCACGGCAGCTCAGAGTGGGCGAACGGCTTTGGGCGAACGTGGGCACCGGCTTTGTCCCCCCTCAGAAAGGCGCGTGTGCTACAAGTGTCTGTAAACTCGCGGCTGAGACAAGACTGGAGCTTTTACCTGTGTGACGTAGTGGGGGTACCTGGCTGGTTTCTATGCTGCTGGCTCTGGGGTAACCCCCACTGGCTGGCCGGCCAAACTTGTTGAACCAGTGGCCAGACACCCCCCATGGAGAGGAACAAAGGAAGGTGGAATGCTGCCCTGACTGGGGGGCAGGGCGGCAAGGGAATTTAGTGAGTTACTGTGGGAGAGCATGGAGGAGAGCCTAGGAGAAGGGGCTGGAGTTTAGGGGCCCAGTCTCCCCCCTCTCAAGGGGGCCTGAGGCATCCTAGCCCAGCTCTGTGACCAGATTACATCTGTGCTGTGCTGTATCCTGGAGAGGCAATAAACTTCCTCTATTCCACCGGCTGGTGGAGTCTGTTTGTGCCATTTCGGGGTGCAGGAGACGGGGGACCCCCCAACGTGCCGTCACAACCTGCAACCGGTTAGTTGAGTTGTGCTACCGCCCAGCGAGGCCTCTGCTCACTCAGCCATCGAGGGAGAACGGCAGGGCCTGGCCTGGCCTCCACAGCATTTGACACGGAGATCACCGTGGCAGCGCACAACCCCCCTTTCTTGTGAAGACTAAGCCACAGGAAGCCAGGGGAACCCAGGTGCCCTCATGCCCAAGCCTGTGCTCTCACCACTAGGATGTGCTGTCTCTGGGAAAGAACTAGCTGTACACAGGACAGGGAAATTGAATTCCAGCTGGTAGCCCTTCCCCGGAGGCTGATCACAGCTCTGGCAGGGACTCAGAGCAGGGCTGGGACCTGTACCAGGAGGTGCTTGTCGCAAGCAGAAATGTCGTTTGACTTGGTTAAGGAAGTAACCACTCAATACCTGCCTTTCGTGGCTGGGGAGAGGGAAGGATTCCTGCGGGGCTGGGCCAGTGCTAGCCAGCAACTGGGCCCGACTTCCTAGCACTGGTGGAAAGTGGGTGCCAATGGGCAGTGTTCCAGGGGCGGCTGTAGGTTTGTATCCGTGGAAGTGAGGGTCTGCCCTGCCACTCCCCTCTGAAACCCGCTTGGGGTCTGTCTGCTGCAGTTGGGCGTGTGGCTGCAGCATGCGTCTCTAGCTGGCTCACGTACCGATAGCAGTGCAGGCCACATGCAAACCTGCAGCCTATTCTAGACAGACAGCAGGTCCCGGGTGCTGGAGCACCCCCACCCCTGCTCTTGTGAAAGGTAAGGCTGCAGTGGTGGGGATGGACCGGCCTGTTTCATGGGCCCCATGGCCCCTGCGTGTACACAGACCGTGGTATGCTGGTCAGGGAGGCCAGGCTGCAGACAGCCAGGGCAGCTTTGCTTATCACGCTGTGTTGAACTGACGTGGCGGCAAGTTGATCTATCTGGGGCTCATGTCAAGGGGACCTGAGCCAGCAGAGAAGGGGTTAAATCCAGATACAGCACGTGGGCAGTGAGCCGAGGTACTGGCCAAAGTCCTAAGAGGAAAGGGCAGGTTTCAGGTGACCCAGAGCAGGTTTCTGCGGGATCCAAGTAGAGCTAAAGCTTTTGTTGGAACTGCAGACAATCCCTGTTAGGCACCTGGGATAGGTGGTACAGGCTGGCCCCCAGAATCATGGTATCCCAGCTCCATGCAGGCTTTAGCCTCACGTTGCCCCAAGGCGAGAAGGAATGTGGCAAGTCTTGGATCCCTGTTTTACAGCTGGCCCCTGGCACACAGAGCCCGAGGGAACCTATGGAGTCTGTGGCAGAGATCTGCCCAACTCCCCATGCCCGGGCTCTGCCGACTGAGCCATGCTGTTGCAGAAGGCTCCCTGAGTCTGGGTTGTGTGGCACCTAGCACCCCGTTC